GTGGTCACTTCACAGTGAACGAGGCTCCAGCCGGGTGCCCTGAGAAGTGACCAACACCCTACCCAGGAGAAGACGGCACAGCCACGGCCAACGTGGAGCTCCAACTCAGGGCTCTGGCCTCCAGCCCAGTCCTTGTCCTTGAGTAGGGATGACCCTCGCAGTGGCCTCTCCACGTTGCATGGGTGGGGAGCACGTGTGCTGAAGACAGGCAGCCTGCAGGTGCCTGCTATGCCTGAGGGCCACAGCCGATGGAAAGCTCAATCATGAGTGAAAAAAAAGCAAGTGTTTCTGAAAATATAACAAGTCAGTGGAAATTAATTTATCAAAAAGCAATTTAAAGCAGCCTTGCAAGAACATAGATTCGCACTGGCAAGGCCACTGCTCACCTGTGGGCTGTGTCTGTCCGTCCACTCAACAGATCCATGAGTCTCTGCCCAGCGCTGTGCCCAGCCCAGGGGCACCAGCATCCCGAGCTCATGTCCGGGGTGGGGGTCCTAACAGACTCATGTGGGCAGTGAGGGCCAACGTGCTGGCGTGCCAGGCAGCCTTGCAGTGACCACAGCTCTGCTTGACCCTGCGGGGGGACGCTTGTGCGGAGCCGCTGAGCTGCCTGGACGGGGGTCCCAGGCACTGGGCACCCAGGACTCGCCCCACAGCCAAGACGGTGCCGCATAGCCTTTTGTCAGGTTCCCAGGATCCACACAGATGTGACCCCCAACCCCGCACGGAGCCCCAGAGCCCTGGAACCCTGGCTGGCAGAGAGAAAAGAGTGAAGGGTTCCTATTCCCCTTTTCTCTTCTGAGACCGGCAGGGCCCCCTGGGCTGCTGTCTTGTGAACCATTGCTCTGCACAGGGCTTTTCTCGGGTGAGAGGCAGGCGGAACTGGCCTGGGAAGCAGCTCTGGCCATGCCTCCCCCACTGTCTTCAGGGAGCCAGGCCCGTGTTACCAGCCCTGTTCTCCCGGGAGAGGCGGGTGGCACACAGTGCCTTCTCCAAGAGGCTCCTGGCATGATGCACAGAAGCTGTTCCCCCTGCGAAGCTCCCAGCCCAAGGCAAGGGGACAGGGACACCATCCCGCCAGGCTCCCTGCCCAAGGCCAGGGGACAGGGCACCATCCCACCAGGCTCCCTGCCAAGCCCTCTGGAGCGTGGATCAAGGACTGTGGCGTGGGCAGAGGCTCCAAGGACATGTGGTCCAGGTTCCTGTTTCAGATGAGGGAAACTGAGGCCAGGGGAGTCTTCAAATCACTCCCTGTGGGGTCAGAGGTTGAGCTCAGCCCAGCTGAGCCTCTGCTGCTCGTGCTCTCTCTCTGTACCAGGTAGGCCGGAAGGTGCCTGACGGGGCCCTGGCCAGGGGACCCCTCCCACCCTCACAAGATGGGGACTGGGGTGCAGGAGGTCCAGAGGGGGCAGGCCAGATTCTGGCTGCTGTCCCTGCCACCAGCCCGCGGCCCGGTGCAGGGACAGCTCCACGCAGCAGGGACAGCGAGGGTGTGCAGCAGGGAGGTCAGGCTGTCTCCACTGCCACCACCACTGCCCGGGGGACGCCTCCATAGCACAGCACTCGTGGCCCTGCGTGGGGTAGAGGGAGGGCCAGGCATCAGGCCAGCGAGGCTTCAGAGTCCCCGCAGCATTGGCATCTGAACCAGCAGGGCTGTGGGACCTGAGCAGCCACGGGGCATCATCTGCCACAGGCCTGGGCCTCCCCCGACACCCCTGGCCACTGTGGAGGCTGCAGTCCAGTGCGGCCTCCCAGGGGGCAACTTCAGCCTGTTCTCCTCCTCCTGGCCATGAGATGGGCCCAGGGCCTGCCCCGCACAGCTGGGTGTGCTGCCTCGGACCAAGCCTGCCACTGAGGGAGATGCAGGAGGCCCACACACGGCCAGAATGCTGCTGCCACTCACCCCCATCGGCTGCTCCCCTGCAGGGCTGATGTGAGCAACCCCCATCACTGGGGGAGGAGGAAGCGGCCAGTGGCCCAGCTCCCAGAGCTGCAGGGACAGGGTGTGCGGGCACCAGGACAGTGGCTCCCTCCTGCCTGCTATGGAGACAGCCCTGAGGCCTCGGCCTGGCCCCTGCTCTGCCATGCTGCTCAGCCCAGCAGCAGAAACAAGACTCACGGCCCCAACTCAGAGGGCAGGAATGGAGCTGGCATTGGCCGAGCACCCCCGTTCCCAGCTGCTCAGGGCTGAGCAAATCACAGCTCTGAGCAATTCTGACCCTTGACACCCACCCTCCTGCTGGGGCACCACAACTCCCGGGACACCCGGGTGCCTTCCTCCCAGGGCACCCACCTTCTTCCAAGGGTACCTACTTTCCTCCTAGAGCACCCACCTTCCTCTGGGGGCACCCACCTTCCTCCGGGGGCACCCACTGTCCTCCCGGATTACCCCATCTTCCTCCCAGGGGCATGAGGTTCCTGGGGAGCTGTGTCTGCAGGGGCAGCATGTCCAGCCTGTGTCCAGTCCTGGGCAGGGAGTCTCACAACGGCCTCCAGACACACCTGCACGTGCCCAGCCAGGGTAGCCTTGACCAGGCAGTGCAAACACCAGGGCCTGGCCTCTCCCACATGGGGTCATCTGCTCACCCAGGGAGGGCTCAAGACTCACCTCAGCCCCTTCCTCCAGCCACAGGAACAGGGGACCAGGGCAGCCTCCAGAGCAGTCCTCAGGGTGCAGATGGCTCCAGAGCCCCCAGACCAGCCCCAGCCCCAGCCCCGGGCTCCTGGGCCATGCCCAGAAGGGACCCTCCCGCTCAGGGCTGGAGATGCCTGGCCTGGCACCAGCTACTCAGCCTTCTCCAAAGCGCTTTAAAAAAACACCCAGCAGCAGCACCTCATCCTTGGGGCACCCGCAAAGCTGAAGATGCAGACAAAAAACACAGTGAGACTCCTGGCGGTGACAGGGCTGAGCTCGTGCCCTGTGAGCTCTTTCCCAGGTTACAGAGCTGAAAGGAGACCTGGAGGAGGCTGTGCCAACCCCCGCCTGATGGCTGGAGGTTGAGGGGCCGGCAGTGGCCGGCCTGCCCACGGGCACTCAGACCCACGGCCGGCGGCTCCTGGAGCAGGCCAGGGAGGCAGCGAAGCCCCTTGTGGGGTCTGTTTCTTGCTTCCCCCAGAGCCACTCTGGGATCTTTTTGATACGCTCTTGGATGCCCTTGTTCAGTGAGGGGGGCAGGCAGGGGCAGATGGAACAGACCTCACCACTGAGTGGCCCCCATAACTCCTCCCCAGCCTCCCGAGGACCTTAGAAGGGGACCCTTTCTCTCCCCCACATCTTGGCCAAGGGGTCCTGCACTGGAGCTGGGGTCTTGGTCAGACTCCAGGGGCCTGAAAGTCTCTTCCTTCCCCACTGAGGCTGGGAGGGGAGGCGGGTGGGCCTGGAGGCTCAGGTCGGGCTGCTGCTGGGCACCTCACTGGCTCTGCACCTACCTGCCCGTGGTGTCAGCTGCTTTGCCGCTGCGTCCCCAGGACACACCAGAAATCCCACGTGGCCGCCCCCATGCATCTTTCCCAGCATTGGGCCCCAGCGGAGGGTGGGCTGGGACCCTGTCTTCGGCTCCTGTTCCACAGCTTGCCCGAGCCGACAAGGGCTGCAGACTCAGCTGACAGACCAAGCTTGCCAGAACCACTGGTCCCGTGCAAAGCCAACACCCAACTCCAATGGGCAGCAAAGCGCCGCAGGCACAGAGCCTCCTTTCATCTCCACAGCAGGGCCGAGTTTAAAAAGCAGATTTTCTACACAACGTCCTACGCGAGTCCCAAGAGAGCTCAGGCCACGATCTCCAGCTGCCTGCAAGCCTGCATCTTCCTCCGGGAGGTTTCCCCCTCACCCGCCTCTGGGCCTGGGTTTGAGGGGCGATGGAGGCAGGATCCCCTGCAGCCGCGGGTTCTGGGAGCAGGTGCCCAAGGCAGAGGCCATGGCCTCTGGGCAGGCGGCAGCTTCGCCCCTACCAGAGCCTGCATCCCACATTGCCCCAGTCTCTGCCTGGTCCAGGCCCTCAAACTGCTGGCTGGGGTGCCCAGACTGTGGAGGCAGTGGTTAAAGGCTGGTGGCTCTTGGTGTCATTAAATTCTCTGTTTTTACCTGCTCTGGGCCTCAGGAGACCAGCCTGGCACCAGAAGAGGGGATGGCAGAGCCCCAAGCTGAGCCAGGCTTCAGCCCACACCCACCGGCCCCAGGTCTGGCCACGGGCTAGGCCCTGGTGTGCAGACACCAGTGGCCACTGCTCCAGGGCCTTTGCACAAGCCGGCTGCAGGCCCAGGCGGTCGTGGGGAGTGGGGCCGCAGCGGCCTCGTTTTCCTTCCCCTCTTGGGAGATGGCTGCTCCTCCCGGCTGTTTCCGGAAAGTGTGTTTGTTATTTGGCTCCTGGAAACACCATCTGATGAAACAGGCTCTGTTGGGCTGGCCTGCCAGGCAGAGGCTGTGGGCGCCAGGAGTCCCACCACAAAGCAGGCGGCAGAGACCCGACGGCCCCACCCTGAAAGCTGGGACCTGGCACCTAAACGGGGAGATGGAAGAACATGGAAAATTCCCTGAGAGCACATTGATGCTCAGCTTCCACGGGCACCAACTTGCTGCGGAATCCTGCTTTGCGGTCATCGTTCTTCGAGCATTTGGACGCCTCGGGCCCCAGAAATTCAAGAACAAGAAAGCTCTGTTTCATGCGGACACGCTCACACACGCACACCTGCTCACACATGCACTCATACATGCGCACACACACGCGCTCACACACGCACTCATACATGCGCACACACACACGCTCACACACGCACTCATACATGCACGCACACATGCGCTCACACACGACACATGCACACACGCACGCTCACGCACTCATGCACACGTGCTCACACGACACACACGTGCTCACACACACGCGTGCACACACACACGCTCACAAATTCACATGCACACTCACACACCCATGGCCATGTAGCCCCAGTCTCAGCATCATGTCCTCTATTTAGAAATATTGGCTAAACACCTAACAAATAACTGAACAGAAATGTAATCTTTAATGAAGACTCACAAACCAAAAGCCAGCTGGCAGTTCCATTTAGAACATGCATGAACACAGCTGCATTTATAGGAAACCTTCAACAGCGATGCTCCTGTGTGTGACAGCCCCCCCCCCCAAATGTCCTTCCTTCCCCTTCACGCCTCCTCACAGCCCAGGGCCCTAGGGACACGGGTGCCAAAGGACTGGATCTGGTGGGCAGGCCAAACCTGGGCCACGGGCCACGGTACTGGGCAGGTGGGGCCCTCAGGGAGGGATGGGGCTCCCTGGGCCAGCCCTCTGCCAGCCGACCAAGACTCACCCTAGATGGTGCCCTCAACCTGTCCTCCCTCAGCAGCCCCATGACTGTAACATCCAGACCAGTTCGTGGCCCCTAGGAGGGGAAACTAAGTCCCAGCTCCAGAGTCCTCCCTCAGCTTCACCAGGTGCCCCATGGAGGAGACGACCAGGGTTTGTCACCTGACAGGCTCACCAGAATCAGGACAGGTGGGGGGATGGTGCAGGTGGGGACAGGACAGGTGGGGACGGGGCAGGTGGGGACAGGACAGGGGTAGACTCCAAAGCGAGGCCGGCAGCAGTGTGTCCCCGGGAGGCTGACAGTGGCCCTGGAGGCGTCAGGTCTCCTCCCAGGCCAGCAGCAGAGCCATATGCTGGGAACAGGACCTTGAGGTGAGCAGGTGGGAAGGAGGTGTGTGGAGATGGTGGGCAGGGCTGCCTGGAAGACTCCCCAGGAATGGCCATGTGTGTTGGGGGCACTGCTGGAAGGACAATGTGACCAGCAGGAAGTCCCAGGGACGGGGTGAGGAACCGGAGCCCAGAGTCTGGGTGTGAAGAAGAGTCACCCTCAGCAGGCTGGGCCCAGGGGGGATCAGGGAGGGGGAGGGAGATGGGGAGGGGGCTCAGGCCTGCCAGGAGCCGGGTCCTGGTGGGCAGCAGACGGCACGGTGCCCAGCAGCACTGAACGGGAGTGGGTGGGAGGACACGGAGCCAGGCCAGCCTCAGTGGCAGGGTCCTGGGGCCCATGTCCAGAGGCGAGGCCCACACAGCAGTGGAACTGGTCCTGCAGGTGCACGGCCACAGTCGGCAGGGGTGGGGGCTTTGGTGCCCTGGCTGCCCAAAGCTTGACACTAACCTAGGGCCAACCAGACCCCACATTCAGGGCACACCCCACGGCATATCAGACACCTATAGCTGTGTAGCAAATAACCCCAAAACTTAGCAGCTTAAAAAGGCCTCCACGTGTTAGCTCCCCCATTTCTGGGGCAGCGTGGCTGGTGGCTGGTGGCTGCGGCTCAGGTGACAGCCACAGGCAGTCCCACGTCCCGGACGGGGCTCACAGGGCTGTGGGGAGGCCGCAGTCCCTGACCATGTGGCACCCCCAGGCTGCCAAGTCTCCTCCAGGTGCCAGAAGCCACAGTCTAACCCCCAGGTCTGGAAGTGGCCTCCCTTGTGCCTGCCGTGGGCTGTGGTCACACGGTCACCCTAAGACCACATGGGCGGGGCTGCACCAAAAACGTCTACACGGGGTCAGGGCGTCCGGGCTGCCACAATGCCGGCTCCTGCAGTGCTGGCCACGTGCCCGGCAAGGAACCCTGTACACAGACCCTGCTCTGCCCATTCCCCAGGGGCCACACCTTCCATGGCAGGCCCAGGGTCGGGGGTGCAGCAGGAACTGTGGCCTTGAACCCAGAGGCTCCGCCACATCTGGGGCTGCTCTCGCCAGCTGTGCAGCCTGGGTGACTCCATGGCTCCGGGTCGTGGGCTGTGCTCCATGCCTGGGGGGCCTGGCCTTCTGTGTCTCAGTCTCCCCTACCCTCCCCACAGCAGGCTAAGGACGCCTGATCCGTGGGACTCAGGGAGCTGAGTGGGATAATTTTTGGAAAGCACAGCCAGGGCTGGCATCAGTGAGGGCATGAGCTTCTGGCCGCCTCTGCCCTTCCCATTCGCAGCTGCCTTGCTGGTGCCTGCCGTGGCCTGGAGACGCGGCTGTGGACGCTGTCTGCTTGCGGTTTTTCCCTTTTTTAGCCCAAGGCTGAGCAGTCCTTCCGGACTGAGGTGTGTGGAGCCTGGCTCTTGACTGGCAAGGGAGACGCTCTCCTAAAGCTCCTGGAATGTTACTGACGGCCGGGCTGGGATGGCGCTCACATTCTTCTAGGTGTGGATAGTGGAACAAAACCAAAATATTAGCACAAGGCTAAGTTTGTTTTACAGCTTCCCGTAACGTATGAGGTGCTTGTTTGGGTTTTATCTAAACAACTTTCCCTGCACACGCAGCAGCTGCTGAGTTTCAGCTCCCGGCCCCTGGAGCCCCTGCGGCTGAGGCTGGGATGGGGGCTCCAGAGGTCACTCCTCCCCTGGAAGACATACGTTGGCCTTGGGCCAGGGGACCCTCAGCGACGGGGTCACCCCAACGTTCTGGAGGCTGTGGCTCTGCTTCCTCCTGGGGCTGAGCTGAGCAAGCTTTAGCGCTCGGGCCGAGTGCAAGGAGGGCAGGAGCGACGTCTCCAACGGTGCTGAGGTCTGCCCTGGGTGCAAGGGACCTGTGTTTTCAGCGCTACCGTGCGGCCCGTGGATGCCCCAGGCCCCTGGACAATTGATATCTGGGGTCCACACTCCTGGACAGGGCTGAGGAGGTGATGTCCCCAGACTTGCCCCAGCACCGCTGTGGAGGGCACCCCGGACACCCGCCCCAGCCTCAGGCTCCCACCCCAGCTGGCCCTGACATGGGTGCACGTGACACCCTCCTGGCCTTGGCCTCTCAGGCCCAGCTCAGCCACGGCCATCCAGACCCCTGGGCTCCGGTGTCTTCCAAAAGCTCTGAGACGTGCCCCCTTGGGGCAGCCGGGGCCCTGACTACCCTCCGACCCTCAGCTGGACTCCCTGTGGCCCAGTCCGGAAGGTTCTCCTTAGAACAGAGGGCAGATGAGGCAAGAGTTGGCTCTGAGCTCTGCCCTCCGGCACCAGCAGTGCTGTGAAGGCCCACAGGGCGGGTCAGTGGTCCCCAGGGACCTCGGCCTCAGGGGAAGTGCAGCAGAGGCCTCAAGTCCCCAGGCGCTCAGCTAATGTTGCCCTCGCTCCTCCAGGGCACAGCCCGAGCTGCAGGAGGGCAGATGCTCCGCCTCTCGGCCAGTGTCCGTAACACCCGTGTGGAGAAAACAGCAAAGGCCGGTGCGGGACGGAAAGGATGTGAACGGTGTCGCCAGCAGTGAGCCCGGGGGGACCAGTCCAACAGCCAGTGCTCCCAGACACCGGCCAACAGCAATGCCCCATCCTCACCACAAACGCTGCTGTGATGCGCTGACAGTGGACACGAATGCGTGACAGACAGCGAGTGCCAGTGTGACCGTCAAGGCTGATGCTGAGCGCTGCACCCACACACCACGGAACCCGCAGGCCCAGGGCTCAGCTCCTGCTCGCAGGGTGAAGGCCGGGCCTCACCGTCCTACGTACACAGCAGCATGGGCACTTCAGGCTTCTCCGGCCTCCTCCGTGCAGAGCCTGCCACCATCCGTGTTGCACAAGGGACAGGTGCTGCACAGAGAGGCCACATGCCTTGCCCCGGGCTGCCAGCTCCAGAGAACGGTCCGGGGATGCCAGGGTCACCCGGCCCCAGGGCTGCTCCTGACCCTCCTGGGACGAATCCTCCGGGCAGAGAGGGGACACCATGGTCATCCGGCCCCAGGGCTGCTCCTGACCAATCTGGGATGGATCCTCTGGGCAGAGACAGGATGAATCACATTCCAGACGGTGGCTCCAGGTCAGAAAGCTGCCAGGTCACCCAGGTGCCATGCGAGCCGCTCCCCGGGGACGGTTTTCAGCCTTGGATTTATCACGGCGGCTGTTCGTCTGCCAGGCCAAGCCCAGCTTTCATCTCCCACTGCACAACCCTCTGCTTCCTCGGGCTCTGGGCTTATCGTGGTTTTCTTTTTCTACTGTCTGGAACTGAATGTTTAGTTCATCTATTTTGTATTCTCTCTTGTTTATAATAAAAACATTTTAGATGAGAAGTTTTCCTCCCAGTAAGTGTGTTTCTGGCCACCTTCTGAAGCCACGGCAGCATCAGCTCCTCTCTGACCTCACAGCGGCTCTGGAGGGCATCGGTTGAGTGTCCAAGCACCTCTCACCTCAGTGCGACACAGGGTCTGTTTCCAGCCTTCCTGCGTGCCTGGGGGTGCCTCACGTGTGCGTATCACAGCTGCAGTGCGCCGTTCCCGGGGGGCCGACCTCGGCTGCACGCTCGCCCACCAGAGCGTGGAATCCCATGAACAGGGTTTCGTCAAACAGTGACAAGGAGACACGAGTAGACCCCACGGTAGTATGGGAGGGGCCTGTCTAGTGAGAAACTCAAGGGAACAACCTTGCCAGAGGCCCACAAACCCGGAGAGCACAGGGACTGGGCTCATCCTGGAATGTCAGGAGCAGGACAGTGGCCCGAACATCAGGACATCCAAGGGCCAGACCAGTGCTGGGACTCCCGGGAGTACCAGGTAGTAGTGGGCAGCAGCCTCAAAGAACCCCAGGACCCCCACCCAGGGGGCAGTTCCGGGTGGGGACAAGGACGGACAGGACACCTGGTCAGTCCTGAGAAGCCACACAGAAGCCTTGCTCTCAGACAGGCCTCCCTCAGGCCTGGGCTGCCTGGTTCTGAGCCCCCAGCAAGGTTTGCAGTGCGGGGAGGGGAGAAGTTAGGGGTCTTGACCTCTATGCGGCACCAGGTCGGGGGGCAGCAGGGCAGGCAGGGTGGGGTCCCACCTTGGAGGACCACCTGCCAAGGACGAGGCAGGGGCAGGGAGGTGGCCGGCAAGCACGTCCCCCTCCCTACCAGCTGCAGCTTGGGGTGACGCTGCTGAAAACCGCAACCCCAAGGCCTCAGAGACACGACCTGCAGGACGGGCCTCTGTTCAGCCAGCTGGACACCAGCCAGGAGGAAACCTCTGCTGCCCCGAAATATGAAATTGGAACAGAAGGTTACGGGCCAGTTCACTCGTGGGCAGAGGACAACTCCAAAACGAGGCCCTGGCAGGCAAAATACAGCCCGGCCCAGGAATTCCCGTGCCTGAGCTCGGACTTCAGAAACACAAGGCTGTGCGGCACACCTGCCCCCAGGAAAACCAACAAACACCCAGTTTTCTCAAAGGGCACCGAGAGGGAAGTCAGTAAAAGCTCCTGATAAAAGTGTTGCAATGACAGGTTTCTTTCCTACTTGACACAAGTGAGCATATAAAAGCAAATGCCTATGTACTTGTTGAGAATGCTTGGGTTTGCCCCTAAAACCACACACACACACAGACGTGTGCACACGCTCAAGTGTGCGCACACACACCCCCAGCTCCGCCCCGGAGAGCCAAGGTGAGGTCGTGTGTCTTGACTTTCCAGGTGCAATGGTGCTCGTCAGCAGGCTTTCCCCTGAGGACTTCAGGACACCCTGGGGCTTCCTCCCTTGGGCTGCAGGAAGGACTAGGCCCCTCGGGTGGCCCCTCGGCAGGGGTCAGTGGCGTGTGCCCATCCTCTGCAGCTGCAGCACCTCCCCTGGGTCCCACCTGCCTCATCTAAATCTGGATGCCACCCCACTCCCCGAAGCTTCAGTGGGAAGTATGGGGTCCCCCGGCCTGGGCAGCCAGTGGTCAGCACGGTCACTGCCCCGGCCCCTGGAATCACCCCCAGGCAGGGCCTTGTCTGAGTGGACCCAAGTGCCCACTGGGCTCAGCTGTCCCCTGGCCTGAGTCCTTGGCCACTTCTCACTGAGCCCAGGGCAGCCAGGATGCTTCTGGGGAGGAGGAACATGACCCAGCATGGCGCCCCGGAGCCTTGGGTCCATGGGCTGGGTCCTAGGGATCCCAGAGCTCTGTGCCACCCCGAGCAGAGGCGGGCGCTGCCTCGTGGCTGCAGGCCTGGAGCCCCAACCCTCCCCACGCACCAGGTCACAGAGGTTGGCTGACACTGACCAGCAGCAGTGCCTGTTGGAAAGGATTTTGGGTTTTCGAGACACCCATGCATAGATACCTCCTGGTGGCACTTTCAGCAGTGCCCTGAGGGTCAGTCTGGCTGGGCTTGACCATGGGCCCACTGCCCAGGGCAGGGAGGCCCAGGCTGGCTGGCAGCTGAAGGGTCCAGTGGAAACAGGTGGGGAGCAGCAGCCACCAAAGGTTGGGGGTGGGGCCAAGGCAGCCCATCCATTACAGGGGCACAGAAGCCCCAGAACAGAGCTGCCGGGAGGGGCTCAGGGGTCCGCTCCAGCTCCCCTGTCTTATAGGGTCGACTGAGGCCCATAGAGGGAGCATGACCTCCCCAAAGCCTCAGCCACCAAGTCTGAGGCCAAGCCAAGAGCAAATCACTCACTGGGCCTCATGCTGGGGGCAGAGACCTGGCCCTGGGTCCTCTCTCCAGCAGGCTGCGATCGTGGCATGTGGTCAGTGGACACAGGAACCCAGGACCGCAGGCTGCAGAGCTGCCAATGGGAACAGAGGTCCCAGGGCTCCCTCCCAGCTCTGTGGAGGGCTCCCCTGAGTCCAGGCCTTCCTGAGGCTTCGATGGTGTCCCCAGAGGCCAGGGATGTCCTGCTGGCATGGGTTTTGGCCACCCCTGCCCAGGCTGGCCTGGGCCCCTGGCTGAGGTGCCCACTCTCTCCCAGAGGGGTGGGGCAATTCCCAGGGGCACACTGGGGTGCAGGTGAGCGGCTGTCTTTTAACAGACACCAGGGTGTGCCTGTGTTTCTGCAGTAAACAGGGCACCATCCCTGCTCCTTGGGACAGGCACCCTCTCGCTCTAGAGTGCTCCAGCAGCACCAGACCACAAGGGCCTGATACAGGATCAGCCCTGGTATGCCTTTCACCCCCCACCCGCTCTGGACTTTGTCTCTCTCTGGAAAACGCGAGCTGCTGCCTGCAGGGCTGGGCTCGTCTGTGACATGGGGCCCCTGCCCGAGCCCAGCCAGACCCGGAGGATTTGCAAGCTGCTTTCCTGTCCCTGTCCATGGTCTGGGTAACAGAGGACAGATACTTTCCCCAGACGGCAGGGAGCTTCCTGCCAGCTTCCCTGCTGCCTCCACGCTCAGTAGCTGTAAGCAAAAGCGCCAGCCTTGTGGGGCCCACAGCCTCATCTGGGAGACTGGGATGCAGACGTGATAGCTGGGGCTCTGGCAGCTGCTCTGGCATGAGAACGAGGGAAGGGTGGTGGCCCCTGGGCTACCGATGGCATTGCAGAGGCTGGGACTGCCGTGCCCAGACTTCTCACTTTGAGACGGAAAGGCCCACCGCGTTTTAAACACAACCTGCCAGGACTTGGGTCTTTTCTTAACAAGCAGCCTGCCATGAGACTAGGAGGCCAGCAGGCCCTGCTTATTCCCAGGACCGGTGAGCCCGACTCCGCCTGTTCCACGTGGGCCTGAGTTCTCCCTACCCCTGGGCCCCACCTGGCAGAGCTCGTCCTAAAGCAGCAGAGTCGGGAGTGGGGAGCCTGGTCCCCGACCACCTCCTGGCCGGAAGCTGCCTGCCCAGCCTGGCCTCCACCCTCCTCAGTCCTCATTGGGGCTGTCTCTCCAGGGCCCGGGCCTGACCACCCTCCACTTGGAACTCTCCCACCTCCCACAGGTGCCCCTTTTCCTCCGGGGAGACTTCAGGGCCCGCCCAAGGGGACAGGGGACAGGGGACAGGGGACAGAACTTCCTGTGGCCGTCCTATGCCCCCGTGGCTGAGCTCCGAGGGGGCGGGCTGGAGCAGGGATCACGGCTGTCGCACAAATGAGACAGAGCTCGTGGGCTCTGCCAGGGACAGGCTTCAGGCAGCGGGAGCCAGGCCCTGTGTGGGCGGGGGCAGTTTCGCCGGGGATGGAGGGGTCGTGGGGCAAAGGCCAGGTCCAGTCAAACCCCAGGCCACCCAGGAGCCATGCAGAGTCCCAGAGGGGAGAGACAGGAGGCTGCCCCCATCCCATAGGAGCTGCGCAGACAGGCCCGGCCTCCTCCTCCAATTAAACATCAGGGTTAATTAGAGTCCTCCAGGCCCAGGGGAGGGACCGAGATGGAGTAATCACGGCTGTGCCAGGAAATCCAGAGCTAAGGCTGGGGGAAGCGGGGAGCATGCTGCCCACTGGGAAGGCGGGAAAGCCAGGGCTCTGCCACCCACGAGGGGTGCTCCGGCCACGCCAGCTCTGGGCTGGAGCACACACAGGTCACACTCGGCTCAGCGGGGCCCTCAAGCCACCCGTCCTCACGACTGTGTGTGGTTACCGCCACCATCGGGGCCGGTGGGGGATGCCAGAGCCCGAGAGGCCACAGGCTCAGCATGGCGGCTTCTCCTGAGACAGCAGGGTGGGGTGTTTGAGGGGGTGTGTGGGGTGTGGGGGGCTGTGGAGGTGTGCGTGGGAGGGCACGTGTGTGGGGTATGGAGCGTGTGTGGGATGTGTATGTGGAGGGGGGCGAGTGTGGGGTGTGTGTCGGGGTGTATGGAGGGGTGTGTGTGTGTGGGGGGATGTGTGTAGGGGTATGCGTGGAGTATGTGTGTGGGGTGCGTGTGGGGATATGTAAGGGGGAGGTGTGGGGGGGTGTGGGGTGTGGGTGTGTGTGCAGTGTGTGTGGGATGTGTGGAGGGGTGCGAGTGTGGGGGGTGTGTGTCAGGGTGTATGGAGGGGTGTGTGGAGGGATGTTTGTGGGGTATGGGGGTGTGTAGGGATGTATGTGGGGTGTGTGTGTGGGGTGTATGGGGATGTGTGTGGGTGTGTGGGGGGTGTGGGGAGGAGTGGTGTGTGGTGTGTGTGAGCGGTGGTGTGTTAGGGTTGTATGGGGTATGGGTGTGTGTAGGGGTGTATGTGGGGTGTATGGGGGTGTGGGTTGTGGGGGGATGTAGGAGGGTGTGGAGGGGTGTGTGTGGGGTGTGTGAGTAGGTGTGTGGGGGTTGTGTGGGTATGGGGGCTGTGTAGGGGTGTATTGGGTGTATGGGGTGTGCGTTGTGGGGTGTGTAGAGAGTGGTGTGGGGACGTGAGTGTGGGGGTGTGTGGCTGTGGAGAGGGTGTGTGGTTGGGTTGGTGCGTGGTATGGGGGTGTGTGTAGGGGTGTATGTGGGTGTATGAGGGGTTGGGTTTGTGGGGGGGGGTGTGTAGGGGTGTTGGGGGTGTTGTGTGGAGGATGTGTGGGGTGTGTGAAGGGGGTGTGAGTGTGGGGGTGTGTGTGGGGGGGGTGTGAAGGGTGTGTGGGGCGATGTGTGGGGTGTGTGAAGGGGGGTGTGAGTGTGCGAATTCCACCCCTGAACTTGGAGTTTGGGAGGGAGGGGCTCAAATGGAAAACATCCTGTCTCGGACCCTGCCTCCGGCCCCGTGACGCCTGGGGGGCCGCTCCTCCCGGGACACCGGAGTGTGTGCCACAGTCCCCCTCACACAGACCGGAGCACGGTGGGAGGTTCAGCAAGTAAGACGGGGTCTCGGGTGGACGCTGACCTTGAGAATGGAGGGGACAGCCGGAAGCTCCGTGCTCCTGAATGTCAGCGCCCATCACCTGGCTGGCTGGGGAGGGAGGCTCTCTCCTCGCAGGCCTCAGTTTCCCCACTCAGGGCTCCAGGGCTTTTTGTCCTAAGTGGCTCGGGCCACCGGGAGATGAGGCCTGTGCTCCACGACCTTGCAGGGACTCTCAGGCCCCAGGCGCCTCTGCATCTGTGTCACCAGGAAGAAGTATTTGGAATCAGAAAACATGTCATCACCGGTTTTCTCTAAGTAACATCCCACCAAACATTTTTAAATGAAAACTCCTTAATCTTCAGGAAGACTGAAACAACCCAGGAAGAGGCCTGTCGTTATCATCCTGGCCCACAGTATTTTAACATCTCTGGAAAAAACACTTTAATTCGGTCTGTTTGACTTTAAAAAAACGGAGCTTTCCGTACAGACCCGAGGGTCTCAGCGCCAGGAGGCAGGACCTGGCATGGAAGCCCCAGGACGGCAACTTCAAAGGGGAAAAGGCAAGACCAGCATCCTGCCTCCCCGCCCGCCAGGGGCCACCCCGGCACCCTGGAAGCACTGGCTGATAGTGGCATCCTGGAAGCACTGGCTGATAGTGGCGCCCCTGGAAAACCCTGGTCACGGTGGCAGCTGAGAACCCACCAGGCTGGAGGGGCCGCCAGGGGCTGCAGGCAGACAAGGCCTGGGCGGCAGCCAGCACCCACCAGCGTCTCGGAGCAATGACAGTGGCTGCCGTCACCGGCTTTATCGCCACACAGGGAACATTCCAGAAGCAACACGCCTGGTGTTTGTACAACACTTGGCTTCCAAGCAGCACAGAACCCTGACTCACCAGCTTGGGGGCCGCGGCTGTGCCTTGCCTCTGCCCGATGCGGCCCCAGCCACCACCCTCCCTCCCCACGCAACACAAAGGTCAAAGACCTGATGTAACAACTCATGGACAAACTCAGGCTGGTGCAAGGGCGCTGTGGGGCCTGGACAAGCCAGGTGCAGGCCTCATCTAGACAAATCCCTCGTGTGGGACGCTCTCAGAGCCCAGCGATCCGGGCAGTGGAGCAAAGGACCCGAATGCAAGCCAGCCCTCAGGGCCAGCACAGGGTCCCGCCGCCTCCCACAGCAATGCCACACGGAACACACCCCTTGCCGGGAGCTGACCCACCCACACGTCTGGGGTGATCCGGGTGGACCCCATCGCGCTTGCCCACAGGGGAAGGCGGAATGGGCAGGCTGAGATGGACAATTCAGGGAGAGGCCCACCAGCACGCTGGAGTCGGCTCTGTGTGCAGGGCCCGTCCAGGCCCCGCTGTCTCCTGCCTCCCATTCGTTCAGTGACACTCATCTGTGCACAGTCCTGGAGCTGACCACACCGCACAGAGCAAAGACCCTGCTCTCAGGAGCTTTCCTTCCGATGAGGAAAGAAGGAAAACCAGGGCCCCAAAGTGTCCAGGAGCATCGTGGCCAGGCCGGGAGGGTGCGGACAAAGAAAGGCAGGGGCCGGGTACTTCTCTTTGAACTGGGAGATCAGACCCTGAGAAGGGGCCAGAGGTCCGGCTGGGCAAGGGGAGCCGGCGTGGATGCTCCCAAGGGCCCTGGAACAGCCTCCACCTTCCTTCCCTCATGGTCCCATCCCAGCCTCAGCCCACTCGTGGCCATCAGCAGCCACCCTACGGCCGCCCAGGCCCCAGATTCTGGCCATGAGGCCCACACCACCTCTGCGGCCCCATCACACCCACGGTGCTCAGCTCCAGCTCCAGCTGCAGGCCCCCTCCCACCTGCAGCCCCCCTCCCACCTGCAGCAGGGGCATCTGAAACCCTGGTGCCCGAGGGTTTAGTCCACCCCCTAGATCGGAGATTTCCCAAAACTCACGTCCCCCAGAACCTCAGAGTATTTGGAGCCAGTCAAGATAAGGCCACATCGGAGTAGAGAGGGCCCTAGCCCAACGTGGCCGGTGTCCTTATAGGACGTCACAGACACAGGGACGGGAGCGACGTGGCCACAAGCCAGGACGCCAAGGGCTGCTGGCATTTGTGGCACCAGGAGGAAGTGTCTGGAATCAGAAACGCAAGTAATCACCAGCAGCCGGACAGGCAAAGAGGACCCTGCCCTGCAGCCCGAGGGAGCGCAGCTCCCGACACCCTGAGTGCAGACCACACAGCAGCTCCCGACACCCTGAGTGCAGACCACCGGCCTGCGGGACACACACAGCAGCTCCCGACACCCTGAGTGCAGACCACCGGCCTGCGGGACACACACAGCAGCTCCCGACACCCTGAGTGCAGACCACCGGCCTGCGGGACACACACAATGTGCTGTTGTCTGACGACCCCACTGTGTGCCAGTTTGTCACGGCAGCTCCAGGAAAGGAACTGTTCAGCCAGCGAGGCTGGTCAGGGTGTGCGGGGCCTGGCCCGGAGCGGTGGGGATGGTCCCTGCTTGCATGAGGACCAGGGCGGCAGCTGGTGACAGACACACAGCTCCCGGGAACAGGGACTGCTCACTCAGCGAGGGGCCCGAGAGGAAGGGGAGGAGGGCCGGGGGCTTTCTTGGGGAAAGGCGGATCCAACAGCTGCCGGGTGTGGGCATTGCAGAAGCCTGGTGGGTGCTGCGAGGGGTTTCCTCAGCCCCCCTTGGAGTGGCCACACTAAGTGCAGACTGAGGGCGGCCAGGGACAAAGGAGACCCCGGACCCCTGGAAGGAGGACCTGGGCCTGCCCAGGGCTGGGGGCTGAAGACTGAGGACAGCCAGGGACAAAGGAGACCCTGGGCGCCTGGAAGGAGGACCTGGGCCTGCCCGGGGCTGAGGACTGAGGACTGAGGACAGCCAGGGACAAAGGAGACCCTGGGCGCCTGGAAGGAAGACCCGGGCCTGCCCGGGGCTGAGGGAGGGTGACCCCCCAGGGCCTGCTGCTGTCCCAGCCAGGAGCCCTTCACCCTGGGCCTGGCATTTGCTGTTCCTTTGGCCAACACCCCACACCCCGGGCAACCAGACACTGCCCTTCCTGCGGGACTGGCGGCGGGTGGGGGGGGGCGCTCCTCCCACTGCCTCTCCTGTCTCCCACTGTGCCCCACAGCCCCCCATATGCCAACACTGGGTCTGGGGCTGAGGCACCCAGGATGTGCCCAGGCTGGGTCTGTGGGCCTCGAGCCCGGCGTCCACCGTCCCAGCCCAGAGCTTCTCAAAGGGTCACGCAGGCACCTCCAGGCCCCAGGAGGCTTTGACCTGCTGTGTTAACCCTTTAACTCCGAAAAACGCACCGAGGGCCCCAGGGTCTAAAAGGCACGAAAGCCCAGTCAACTGTAGAACTTGTTTAAATCGATGACTGGGGGATTCATGTTCCTTCTCCTGAAGCTCCCACAGTCATCCTCTCTGACCTACTGATGCAGGGGCTCTACCCCAGGTGTCTGTCCAGAGAACACACATGCCCCGTCCTCTGCCTCGAGCCTCCCTCTCAATGGTGGCCAGGAGAACTCAGCTGACAGCCACGGCGAACCCCACACTTGGACGCTCTTCTGCCACGGGACGACCCCGTCCCAGCTGCCGCCATGGCTGAGGGTCGGGCTCTCTGCACCTGCAAAGATTGCTGGGGTGGCACCCGCGGGAATACCATCAAGGGCTACTTCCCTGGGACAATCTGCATCCATCTCAGCCGATGGGACACCTGCTGCCACTCCTGCCCGTCGCTGTCCTTCCACAGCACCCTCCTCCACGCGACTCTCAGGCACCGCCAGGGGCTGCTCGCCCAGGGAGGAGTTAGAGGCCCCTGAGCCCGCAAGGATCCCTAGAAGAGGGGCTGCGAGCCACAACCAGACAGGAGTAATTTCAAAACCAGGAAGCAAGAAGGTTTTTAAATTTTTATTTTTTAGAGACAGGATCGCTCTGTCACCCAGGCTGGAGTGCCGTGGCGCAATCTTGGCTCGCTATAGCCATGGCTTCCTAGGCTCAAGCAATCCTCCCACCTCAGCCTCCCCAGTAGCTAGAACTACAGACACGCACCACCACGCCTGGCTAATTTTTGTATTTTTTTCGTTGAGATGGGGTCTCACTATGTTGGCTGGTCTTGAACTCCTGGCCTCAAGTGATACACCTGCCTTGGCCTCCCAAAGTGCTGGGACTGCAGGTGTATGTCACTGCGCCCGGCCAGGTTTTTCACAAGAAACCCAGACCATGGGATGAGGATGTTGGAGAAAGTGGAAGCCGCCCCCGCCCGCCTCCCCACCACGCTGCCCTGCCTGCATCCCACAGACATTGTTCCCAGCACTCGCTCTACCACAGAAATGGTTTTGTTGCAAGCACTGGTTTGTGACCAGCTCCTCTGAAGCGAGAAGCCCGTTCTCTAAGGAGCTGGGGCTGGGGCTGGGCAGCCAAGCCGGCCCCAGCCGAGGGAGTGTGGGATCCGCTGCCTGTGGCTCCTGTAAGCCCGTCTGTCCCATCATCGGGGCCTTGGAGGGTGTCCAGGCTGTCTCTGTGGATGCCGTGTCTGCTCGTGTCAGGGAAGGGCCAGGACACTGAACAGAAGGGATGCAGGCTCCAAGTCGTCTCGGCCACCCACTCGCCAGGAAGCCTTTGGTGGGGCTGCTGGGGCTCTGAACCCTGAGCAGGCGGCAGGGCCGGGGAGGTTGGACCACGGGCGCTCACGACAAGAGGGGCCATGCACACAGGGGCCACCCACATGCCCTGGAGCCAGAAGGCCATGGAGCCCCTGGGACTACCCCCACCCCAGGAAGCCTGGGAAGGCTAAGGGTGCTGGGCCCCTGCCTGGGAGCTGAGAGTGGTCCTGCTCTGTACTTCCCAGACACCCCGAGTGGGGTGCACCACCACGCCCAGCCTGCCCAGCCCTGCTGCAGGACATGGGCCAGCGAGGTCCCGCAGAGCACTGGGGTGGGGGAGTAGGGGCAGGGGGAGCCCAGCTGGGCCTCAGGGGCCTGGGGACGCACCACCCCCTTGCTTTCCACACCCTGAAAACAAGGACTGATCAGTCACTGATTCACAGTCCAACAAACTTTCAAATACCAGGGCTTCCAGCAACAAAAAAGGCCCTCTCCTGCTTCTGGGTCAGCAAGAGCTTCAGGGCTGGGCCCACCCCGCGTCTCCTCCCTGCAGAAGGACCCTCTGCTCTCCGCCCCCAGAGCAAGGCAGTGGGCTGCCTGGGTTTGGAGCAGCTGGGAAGGGCGAGGGCAATGGTTGGGGTTGGGGGCACAGCCCAGGGGGTGCATACACAGGCAAAGAGCAGGCTGGGGCTTTGCCAGGGCCATCTGTGTCCCTGGTCACTGAGGGTGGCAAGGGAGACTGGAAGGGAAACAGACCCCCAGGTGGGGAGGGCCCCAAGCCAGCCCCCATGGCAGTCCCTGCAGGCCTCAGTGCTCCTGGATCCCACCAGGGCCGCAGCAGGAACTGAGGCTGAAGTAAATCAGGGTGGTTGGTGGCACAGCTGGGGCCACACCCAGGCACAATTCCCTCCCAGGGGGCTAGCTTGGGGGCACCGGTGCCAGTTCAGGGACGGATTTAGGGCCTCCACAACTACAGTCCCCACAAACCCTGTGCACGGCCCGCCCTGACTCGGCGTGGGGGCTGCAGCTGCCAGAGGAGGGATGTGGCTTGTCGTCCTGAGCAGAGCAGGGGCAGCTGTCCCAGGGTGGGCCCAGCCCTGTAAATCAGGGAGCAGCTCATGGGAACGGCCCTGGGGGTGCAGGGTAAGTTCACAGAGCTCTTTATTGAGTCCCACAACCGACCAGAGGGAAGGGCGTCCACCAGGCTCAGATCATGGTCCTCGAGGGGCTGGCGCTCTCTACCTGGCCCACACGTGTGTCCTGAGGAGTTGGGGCACGCCCACTGCCCTGGTCAGAGCTCGCCGCCACCTTCCAGCTGCATCTGCCGGGCCAGCGTCTGCCCGATCGCCACCAGGGGTCTGGCTCTGTAGGCCGGACTAGCCAGCAGCTCCCGAAACCGGGTCCTTTCTTCCTCACTGAAAGAATGGAGACCACAGATCAGCAGGCAGGAATCCCCAGGCCCCTCAGCACCCCCAGGATCCGACACAGCTCAGCCCCTCAACACCCAGGCACGTCGGACACCGGAATGAATGGCAGAGGCCTGGGGCCACCACTGGACTGAATGTCGGGGTCTTGGAAACTTCCAGCAGGAGGGGAGAGGCTGCCCCGGGCCCGCAGGGCCACATGCGTCCCAGAGCCCTGGCAGTGCCCACTGTGGGGTGTGCCGTGGAGCCACATGCGTCCCAGAGCCCTGGCAGTGCCCACTGTGGAGTGTGCCGTGGAGCCACATGCGTCCCAGAGCCCTGGCAGTGCCCACTGTGGAGTGTGCCGTGGAGGTGTCACCCGGCCCTGGCAGTGCCCACTGTGGGGTGTGCCGTGGAGCCACATGCGTCCCAGAGCCCTGGCAGTGCCCAGTGTGCCGTGGAGGTGTCACCCGGCCCTGGCAGTGCCCACAGTGTGCCGTGGAGGTGTCACCCGGCCCTGGCAGTGCCCACTGTGGGGTGTGCCGTGGAGGTGTCACCCGGCCCTGGCAGCAAGTCTGGGGCTGATGGGGCTGCTGCGAAGGCTGAGAAACGGGACGGCACCTCACAAGCCCTGCAGACCACACCTTACATAAAAGACGGCTCCCTCCACGGGCGACCAAAATAGACGCACACGGAGGAGAGTCGAGAGCCGGAGAGCCTGAGCTGGCACAGGCCTGCAGCAGAGGGGGGCACGGCAGCCCCAGATGGGTGCCACGGCGACGACCCAGCACAGCACCAGCTCACCCCAGCCGCCACCCAGCCTGGCAGCCACTCAGCTCCTGCTCTAAACACAGAGCAGCTGCTGGCATCCCAGAGGGGTGCCCGGTGGAACACAAAGGTGACATGGGTCCCATCTCAGGCACAGAAGCCTCGGGGGCAGCTAACAAGGCTCCTTCACACCCCACTGGATGACCGCCTGGGCAGGGTGCCCACACACCAGAGCCACCGAGGACAGCGGGGCTGGGGCCATCTCCACAGCAGGAGGCGGTCAGGGCTCTGCTAGTCACTGACCACCGCCTCCTCCTGCCACTGCCACCCTGGCCCCAGCATGGCAGCTGGGACACTCCCCGTAAAGTCAGGGTGAAATGCCTCAGTCACAGCCTGGACATCACTAGTGAGGTCTGGGGCTATCAGGACCCAACAAGGCCCCACCAGGGGCAAATGAGGAGCCGAGGCCAGGGAAGGCCCAGGCCAGGTTCTTAGCACTATGGTCCGTCGGGCAGAGTCCTGGGTCAGAGCTGGGGAGGAAAGGAGCCGTGACAGTGACGCTTGGAAGAGAAGCTGCACGGGAAGGGGTTGCAGGGGGAGCCTGTGCCTGTGCCCGAGTTTGGACACGGTATGGGACACGGGCTCAGAGCCCCTGGCACTGTGTGACTCCCACGCTGGGCCAGGCCTCCAGGTGCCATCCTGGACAACCGTAAACACAGACTCACAGACAGGGCCCTCCCACCTGAGAGAACAGCCCTTTCCTTGGTTTGGTACACATGGGAGCAGCCGTGGGGCACAGACCACCAGCCCCAGGAGCTACAAGGCTCGCGCCCAACACGGAGCCCCCAGGGGAGCACGACCCAGGGAGGGGCCACTGTTGCTTCCCACTGGAATCTTGGGATTGAAGGATCCAAAGCCACTCAAACACCTGAGCCCTGTCCACACATGCCAGAAAGCACCACGGACACAGAACACGGAGTGAACAAGGGGCCTGCCGCTCTCCTCTCAGAAGCAACAAGAAACCAAACTCAATCTTTCATGAAACCAAGAGACCTGTTAACCTGAGCTGCTTCGAAATGCAGCGACCCCAAGGACGTGGGGGCACCAAGGGGTGTGGGCCACAGATAGTCTGCGAGAGGAAAACCTGTCACCCTGTCCGGGCAGGGAGGGGCTCCCTGGACCAGGCTGTACACTGGGGAGAGGTGGAGAGGGAGGCCAGGCAGGAGGATGGCTACATGGAGAGGGCTCTGCCGTTTCCAAACTGTCTCCAGACAAGACTGACCTGGCAAGAACTCAGTTCATAAACAGAGAAGCACAAACCAAAGAGGACAAACATAAAGATCTACAGGAAGACCCCGCTCCTGAGGAGGCCGAGGCAGGAGGATCACTGCAGCCCAGGAGGCGGAGGCTTCGTGTAGAATCCTGAAAATCCTGTTTCGTGAGTCGGTTGGTGTTTAGAAGCTGGTGTCCGAATGGTAGCTTCCAAAGGTTTCCTTTATGTCTTGGCTTTTCTTCAGGGGCACCAGTTTACGCACTTTACTGCATCTCTCTAATCTGTTTTCCATCTCGTGTTCTCTAATCCATTTTTACCTAGAACTTCGTCTGTGGTCTAGAAGTGAGTATAGACAGTATGTAATTGTCTTTTTTAGTTTTTAAAATGTTTTTATTTATTTTTTAGAGACAGTTACTTGCTCTGTGCCCCAGGCTGGAGTGCAGAGGTGTGATCAAGGCTCAACG